CTGGTATTTTTAATAAATTATTTGAGTGCATTAATATTTGTTTAATTGTTTATTTAGGTTTATTAATTGAATTAATAGTTATTATTTGACTTATTTGAATTAAATTGATTATTTGACTTATTTGAATTATTTATAAATTACGACTTATTTGAATTAAATTGATTATTTGACTTATTTGAATTATTTATAAATTACTTGGAGTTTTTATTTTTATTTATTATTTGTCTTTAATTGGATTAAATGTGTATTATAAATTACTTAGCTTTTCTTTTAAAATTCATGATTGTGGCCGATTAGGATGCAATTAGGGTTTTATCTCTATATATACATGGACTAGGTTTTTATTCTTAGTCTTTGTATATAGAATAGTATGGTCTACTAGGGTTAGCAAAACCCTATTCACGTATTAGAGAAATAGAGAGAAATAGAGAGAGGTTGTGAGGAATACAGAGTGAAGGTTTCGGCTGTGGATTAAGGGTCAGGCCTAGGAGAAGGGAAGGATGAGCAGTAGAAGGTCGAGTTGACGGTAAACGAACATCATCGGAAAGCTTAGGGAGATAGCGACAAGGTTTTGAGTCCAAAACTATAAAGGCAAGTTCTTTTCTTTATCTCTTCTGTTGGCCTGTGTTCTGTGCACCTAGATATTCTCTAGGGTTTAATTGATCATTAACTGAAACTTACATGTTTATTATATGTTATATTGATGATCTGTATGCGTTGAATCAATTCTGTTACAATTCTTGCATGTCTATGTTTCAGTTTGTTCTTTAAGATGTTAAATCGGTAGTAGTTTTAATCACTATAATTAATTCCAAAGATTGTAAACAAATCATTGGTATGCTACTGGGTATAAATAAGACCCTTAGGTTCAGTATTAAAGAGGAACAGAAGGTTTGGAATTCGCCAGAAATGGAAAAAATGGAGACTAGGAGGAGTAGAGGCGGCTCCCTTTTCAAAGGACGCGGCTCCATTGAAAGGAGCCGGCTCCAATTTTTAAAGGAGCCGGCTCTTTTTTTTAAAAGAGCTGGCTCTTTTTTTTAATGGAGTCGGCTCCCTTGCTGGCAGTGTGCAAAATTTTGGGTTTTTGGATTATTGGTTATTGTTTTGATAAAAACAGTGTTATGGAGTTGTTTAATGTTGCTATAGATGATTTAAATTGACTGAGATGGATGTAAATAATTCATAGAATGTGTAATATACACTATTATAAGTATGATTTTAAATAATACCAAATTAAAAATAAGTTTGCATATTATTACATTAATGGAATGAACAGTGTAAAATTTTACAACTTTGCATGCTATTAACGATTGGAAGGAAATTAATTGCTTAGTCTTAATTCAACAATTTAATGAGTTATAGCATGTTTCTAATTCTTGTTTTAGATGCACCGTAGGGTCTTTTATTTAACAGATTGGACCTGTGCATGCTCTGGATTTTAAATTGCTGAAACATTAGTTCTTTTCTGCAATTACATGAATAAAGGATTGGAATTAATTGCTAAGATATTTTACACTATTATGCAATTTTGGACTTTGATTGCTGAACTGTTAATTAAGTTCTGTAGTTTATATGGATGTTGTGGATTGTATGCACCGGTATGGGATGGTGCCATACTAGGGATGGCTTAGCTCAAAATTTTAATACCTACCCTATTGGAATAAGGGAATGGATGGTAAAAATTGAATCCTACTTATATTTTTATCGGATCAACTGAGTAAGTTAAATGACCACCTGGGTTAATGGTCGTTTGTAGTTAAGTCATATTAGCTGAATAAGTTGAGTGACTAACTGGATTATGAATTGCATGTCAGATCAATGAACAATTGAGTGACATACTATGGTTTTGGATAGACTTTAGATATATGATTATGGTACCACGATATGAGCTTGAGTCTCATAGTCGATGGTTAGGGCACGAATATGCAGTGGATGCGTAGCTGGCTATCATAGGTTGAGGTGTACCCTATTAGGTCTAAGTACTCATGCCCACCTTCGGGTGCGTTCCCCTTTGTAGTCCAGTGAATGTCCCTTAGTGTGAATATATATATATATATGTATGGACTAGATAGATATTGTTGAGATATCTAGGGTGTATCTGCGTATCGGGTCACTGTATGGATTGCAGTTCGATTAGAACTTGTTTATGGGCCTGACCCACTCTTATATTTTTTCAGGTATCGGACGGTTCTAGTCTTAGGGCTTGTACAGCTGCGCAGAGACGGTCATTCATTCTACCGACGACGTAGGATTTCATTCCATGTTTTAGATTTGGATTTTAAATTTCAGTTGTTTATGTTCAGTTGGGATTTGGTTTAGGGATCCACTAGATGGATTCCTGAGTTGTACTCTTGGAAGTTTTGGAAGTTGGATTTTATTAATTTTTATCAGTTGAGGATTTTATATTAGTATTTGTTTATGTTCAGTTGGGATTTGGTTTAGGGATCCACTAGATGGATTCCTGAGTTGTACTCTTGGAAGTTTTGGAAGTTGGATTTTATTAATTTTTATCAGTTGAGGATTTTATATTAGTATTTCTTTCAGCTTTATTATTCTATTTCTTAGATCTATTTTGTATTCTGTGTTCGTTTTAAAATATTAATTGTTTGATATTCCCTCGGGTTTGGGCTTGGGCCTAATCAACCTGTGTCTCGGATCCGAGGGGTATCACACATGCAATCGACGCTCCCGTTGTTATCTTTTCCCAATCCCTTTGGAAGACTACATTTCAAGTACATGCAAATTAATTAAAGAAAATATAACACCAAAATATAACCTAAGTGGAGATAGTTAAATGAAAAAACTCAAAACCAATGATATGCCGATAAAGTGATGCCCTTCTTGCAAGGCCATGGTGACACAACTTGTAACAGCCAATGTTGAAATTACATGCTATGTGAGGGTTAATATTATGTGAACTAGCTCCCTTTCTTCTCCAAAAATATTGTAAATGTAAGGTTTACTAAGTTAGCTTAGTGTTGGCTTCAAGAGTTAGTATGTTTTTGTAGTCTACATAATGAACCACCTATTTTATTTCATGATGCTGCCAAATGCAAAGTAAATCACAATATCAGCACAAGTGCAAAACAGTAAATTAGTGAGGGCTATGACAACAATTTTGCCTGCAGAAGTAAATTATAAATAACAGCATCCTCTTTTGTTTCTATACCAACCATTTATATCTACGCACCCCTAGAATGCAAATTGCAATTGTTTTTAAGCTGAGAAGGCTGTAGTAATTAACAAAAGGCATCAGCTGGATATCTCCATATACTTGAGCTTCTCTCCACAGCTCGAGATTGACTTGTCTATTCGTATTCTACAGTACAGGTAGGAAAAAAAAATGAAATAAGAAATAGATAAAAAAGAAAAAGTAGCAGTCCAGCTGTTACCCAAAAAAATTTCAGGCAAAGTGACTATTGTCAATGAACACAACTAGAAGGGGTGCTTCAGAAGGATAATTCTATCACCAAGAAACCTTTCTCCCATTTCTTTCTTTTTTGTATGATAAGGAAATATAGTGGAGACATTGTGTAATAATAAATAAATATTATATATTCCGTTCATTGCTTGGAGTAATGCTAAAAAACATAGCTAAATGTCACGGGCCTAGAGATTTGGCGCAGCGGCACGGCCCGTGCGGCACCAAGGCGTTGCTTCAGCTCGCGCAAGCGCCCTGGTCAGCCACCACGACCTGCCCTCCCAAGGATACATGCTGACTGGTTTCGGCCTGCCATGGCCTCGTCAGGGGAACGGCTCCAGCTCCCGACCAGTTTGTGCAGGGATGGCCAACTCCCTTCTTCATAGTCAAGTCCAAGACTAGCGACAAGCACCTCGAACTGAACCGAGTCGACCTGCCTGAACTCTGAAGAGGTACCATCCTGTGGTCCTGCACGCCCCTTCCCTGGAACCATTCCCAGTCAATGAATGTTCTTAGCCAACCAGCATGCGTATCTTCTATGCTCATGGCGTCGTTAGGAATCGGATCGTGACATTCTCCCCCACCCAAATCCTGCGACGCCCTCGTCGCAGTGCGGCGCTGACTCCGCTGCGTCCAACATTCCAAAGCCTGTCTCCTCCAAGTGGTATGCTCGCCTGCCCACCATCGGTTCCTTGTACAACCCCTGGCTGCACTCGCCCAATGATAGGGTTTCGGGCTAAAGGGACGCCCACTTCTTCGGGACGCAACCTCACGTTATGCCGCCTCCGCGACACCCCGAGCAAACAAACGCCCTCCGGCTGGCTTGATACCCGCCCTTCACAACGGTTTGCACGCCTCTTGAACTTGCAAGAACTTTGGTGCGCGCAGCCCTCCGGCAATCCGATGCGCGCGGCCCTCCGGCTTAAAGGACGCATCTTCATGGGGAGATGGAGGCTCTCCTCCAACAGCATTGATTACCCACCGATGCTTTTTCAGTGCACCGTCTTCATTCTCAAGACCCCCGGATCGACAAGAGGGCACACCTCTGTGCTTTTCCCCAAGTCCTGCTCTGATACCATTTGTCACGGGCCTAGAGATTTGGCGCAGCGGCACGGCCCGTGCGGCACCAAGGCATTGCTTTAGCTCGCGCAAGCACCCTGGTCAGCCACCACGACCTGCCCTCCCAAGGATACATGCTGACTGGTTTCGGCCTGCCATAGCCTCGTCAGGGGAACAGCTCCAGCTCCCGACCAATTTGTGCAGGGATGGCCAACTCCCTTCTTCATAGTCAAGTCCAAGACTAGCGACAAGCACCTCGAACTGAACCGAGTCGACCTGCCTGAACTCTGAAGAGGTACCATCATGTGGTCCTGCACGCCCCTTCCCTGGAACCATTCCCAGTCAATGAATGTTCTTAGCCAACCAGCATGCGTATCTTCTATGCTCATGGCATCGTTAGGAATCGGATCGTGACATAAAGCTCTAGCTACCAAGCATTAGAACCAAGGTTGTTAAAATCGGGATTCTATGTAGAATCGTTTTGGGCTCCGTAGAATCGGAATCGTAGAATCGGATCGTGAATCGTAAGATTCTACCAAATTGTGAAAAAATACTTGAAACTAATTTCCTAAACAATAAGATATGTAAAATATAACCAAAATAAGGCCAAAACATACCATATTACATATCCATGACTTCAAATCTCAAATCCTAACAATATTCTAAAGTCCGAATATAAATAAAAGTAAAAGAAAATATTCCAAAGTCTGAATATAAATAAAAGAGGATGTAACACAAAATAAAATAGTCCATAAATCTCAAATCCTAACTCATCCCTCTCCAAAGTTAGAAACTAAAATTACATATCCATAAAGTCATCATTGAACCCTGCACCATCTTCCTCATTAGCTTCATCAATAGGATTTAATGGCTGCAAATCTTCATTATCATCAATTGCATAAATTTCCTCAACTACAAAGCATAAAGAAAGAACAAAAATTAATATAATGTAATAATTTATACAATATTATAATAAAAGTTTAAAATTTAAGTTCTTACGTGTCCTAGTCATCCTTTCTACTTCATCTTCTTCATCGGAATCATCTTTTTGAACTTTGTCATCAAGAACCCTCAACCATTTAGTTTTTGTTGGAAGAACAGGATCTTCTTTTTCGGTAATCCAATCATCATCGGAAGAGACATCTTCAAAAATAATTGGTTCTATGACAGCTTGTCTTTTCAAGTTCCTCTCCTTCAATTTTATGTTATACATAACAAATACCAAATCATTCATTTTCTTTTGTTGCAACCGGTTTCTCCTTTTTGAATGCACCTAAATATATTACCAATGAGGTTAAAACTTAAAATTAAACAACAACATTATTAAAATTTTAGAACTATGCATTATTCAGTAATTTACCATCTCAAAGGCACTCCAATTCCTTTCACATCCCGAAGAGCTACATGTTAAACTCAATATTCTAATTACAAACCGCTTCAACTCGGGGCACTCATCACCATATGAATCCCACCATTCAGCTATTATATTAAAAAAATTATAACATTAAAGTTAAAACTATTCAATTTTCAATTGACATTTGAATTACAAAATATAATAAATTATCAAATATCAATATTGCATTTTCTAACCTGGAGACTTCTTGTTCCTTGTCAATATTGCATTATCTAGGCCAAAGAGCCCTCTTGCAGCTTTGAATGTGTCCATTTGGCAATCAATTTTTACTCTCTCATTAGAATCAGGAACCATTCTTTGGAGACATTTATAAACTCCTATTTTCACATCTGCATCTAAATGGAAACTTGGACTATATTGGAATTGGGGATTCAAAAAATATGCTGCCGCATGCAAGGGTTGATGAAGTTGAGATGCCCATCTTGCATCAATGATCGTACAAATAGGTTCATACCTACAAAATCGTTAATTTAATGTAAGTCTAATAATTTTCAGTTTAACTATTTACAAACAATACTATATTCTAAACAATAAAAAACTCTATTACTCTTTTAGTTTTTAAATAAATTAAAACTTTACCACTTTTTGATTCCATTGAAGTTTTTCTTAATTTCCTCCTTGGCACGATCCATTGCTCCATAAATGAATCCCATAGCCGGTCTCTCATCAGAATCCACCAATCGGAGTACTTTAACAAGAGGTATTGCAGCTCTTAGACAATTGGCAACATTTGTCCAGAAGTTACGATTGTCTAAAGCCACACCTTCAACTCTTTTCCCTTTACGTGTCCTTGCAAACTTACTAGACTTCCACTTAGATGATGTAAAAAGATTCATCAATTCTCCTTTTAGTTCATTAAGACGCTGCAAAGTTAAGTAAGAAGTGGCAAATCGCGTCACTGCAGGTCTAATAAGCTCCTTGCCATTTGTGAATTCCTTCATCCAATGGTTCAGCATACACCTTGAATAAATGTATGAAACAATCATCCTTCCATCTTCAATTGTCCCACTATGCATCTCAATTTTTTTCTCAAAATCCTTCAACATCAAATCAATGCAATGAGCGGCACAAGGTGTCCAAAATAATTTTTTCCTCTTTTCCATCAACATCTCTCCAGCCAATTTGTAGTTAGAAGCATTATCAGTTACAACTTGTACAACATTTTCTTCTCCAACTTTTTCCACAATCTCATCTAACATTTCAAAAACCATTTGGCCAGTTTTTGAAATATCAGAAGTATCTCGGGATGACAAAAAGATAGTTCCCGATGGGCTATTGACAAGAAAATTACATATTGAACGTCTCCTCCTGTCAGACCACCCATCTGACATAATAGTACATCCAGTCTTCACCCATTCTCCTCTAAAATTCTCGAGTATATTCAATGCTTCACTAACTTCCTTCTTCAAGAATGTCTCTCTAATTTCATGATAAGAAGGAGGATTGAGCCCCCTCCCATACTCTCCAATCCTTTTAATCATAAGAGGAAATATGGGATTGTTCACACAATTGAATGGTATAGCACTGGTATAAAAAAATCGGGCTATGATTTGACATACTGCATCTCTCTCTTCCTTTTTAAATTTCTCATTCAATGTTGTTTGCCGTGACGAATTCTTTGTTACAAATCCATCCATTGCACCACCTTGCTTCCTCTTCTTTGATTGTTCTAAGGCTATACATTCACTATCATCATCATCGATATCAACATCATATAAGTTTTGTTTCTTCTTCTTTTGACTTTCCTCTGAATGAGCTTGAAGAATTTTTTGAAATTGTGTTCTCACTTCTTCGGGCACTTGTGGACACGGCTCAACATTTAAATGAGTGCCAGCCAAGTGATGTTTATGCCGATAAATACCCCCAGAATGGGAAGTGTTGCAATACCGACACTTCACTTTTTTTGAAGTCCCATCCTCAACCCCATGTTCCCATCCCGGATCTAATCTTTGTCCCAGAGCATTTTTTCTTGTAGTTTTACCAGAACTTCCAGCTGATGACATCTATTTCAATATTCATATAATTCAAGTTATTTAACCAATCAAAAGTTTTGCATTCATATAATTCATATAACTAGTTGGCAGGATTACAAATACGGATAAGAAAGCAGATCAGGTGTATTAAGCCTTAGGCCTGCTTATCCTGCAACAAATTAATTAAATTCACTACACATATATACTTCTTAATTTGAAGCTAGAACCTACTGTTTGTGTGTGTGTGTGTGTGTGTGTGTGTATATAATCATGGAGCCAACAGAAAGTTATGTATTAACTAAGATTAATCCTGAGGTACATATATATATATTAAATATAAAAAAGGGTATATACGATTGTGTGTGTGACTGTGTGCTTAGTTTAGTACCTTCTCCATAATTTCCTCTTTTGTGCACTTTTCTTCCCAACACCAAAAACAACACCTACTCAGTTCCTCACTTCGTTTCATGTTTCTACTGTAGAAAGAGCTTTATGGTGTGCAAGGCGTTCACTGTTTATGGTCCTTTTTGTATTTTTATAAAATTATTGACTAAGAGTATTTTGGTCAAGTTTGGTTTTAAACGTGCCAAAGGGACTTGATTGCACCAAATTGAAACTTGAGAGGTGTTTTTTGCATGGGAGGGATGTGATATGCACTATATGCATACTTAAAGGGTGTTTTTTGCACTTGACCCATTGTCATTATAATGCTGATTTTTTTGGAACATATAAAGCTTTAATGATTCATAGGAATCAGTCAATCAGTCACGACATAGAGTTTCTAATCAGTACTGCATGTTGTTAGATTAGATGGTCTTATTGTCCGCATTTAAATGTTTTAGTTTAATATCATATATTGTTGTAAGATACAGTAATTATTTTAAATTACTTTTTCTGTTTTAGTCTCTGAGTAATTTAAAATTCTTTTCGAATTGTCTTATATAAAATTTTCATAAGCACCTACATGTTACAAGTATGTTTAAAAGAATATACACATATGGGAACAAATTATCAATAAGGATTAAAATAAAAAAAATAAAAAAAAATAAAAAAATCAAGAATTATTATTAGTTGGATTCTGATTTTGAAGGTACCAACTACCAAACCATGTTCTAAATTCGAGGTACAAAGCCCTACTCGTGCCAAAGTTACATGTTGGAGAAACACTAGGATTGGACAACACTTCTCATTCACATCACAACTCAATTCAACTGTGTTTGTTCTATCTATATCCCCATATTCCCTCTCTCTCTACCTCATATCCTCTTTCTGTCTCTAGACTGTGCTCTTAGGTTTCTACCAATGGAACTTCATTCTCTCTTAGGTTTGAGTTTTGTAATAGTATTATTGTTCCATGAATTGCTTGTCTTTTTCTCTATTTTTTTTTTTCCTTAATCCATTATAAAAATATTATATTATGTACTTGTGAATCACTGAATAAATTATGTATATGCATATAAAAAACTGATTGTACAGCTGAATCACTGAATAAATTATCTAATTTCATGATAGCCTATAAGGTGAAGCAGAGCTCCAACAAAACCCTACTTGGCTCGCCTTTAACTCATTTACAGCCATACCTCCAATTAGAAGAAGCAGCCAGACATTTATAATTTTGCGAACTTGTTACATGGAATCCAGTCTGTAAGAACCGATCCTTATGAACAGGCAGACGCTAATTGAATAAAATAAAAAATAAAAAATTCAGTATCATACCTTCCAAGTAGTTAGCACCAAGATACAACTCCTTAAGCATAGTTAAGTAATGATAAGATGGAGAGCTAGCCATTATAAAAAAAAATTGATTTCACTGAATAAATTATGCATATGCATAGCTTTGCTTTTAGATCTGTTCTCCTCTCCATCTCTCTTAATTTACCTCAACATTCCTCTATTTTACTGCCCTAAATCTACCTCTATTTTTTTTTAATTCAAAGCAGGTTTCCAAACACTAGAAATAAAAAATAATAATAAGAATTCATCAAACCAGTCTATTCAAAATTATATATATATTCAAAACAGGATTTGAAGTTATTTATTATATCTTTGTGTGTATATATTTCCTATTATTTTTCAATTGGTTGAATTCTCGTCATGGATCCTGTTAATTAGTAGTTGGAGTTTCTTGATCAAGGAAGAAAATAAATATATAACATACCTGGCCGAACCTGTTGTATGGATCCGATGATTCTGATCTGCAAGCTATGAGCCTCTGCCCTCTGCACTGCCGCCTCCTCTCAGTCCTCGACTCCTCACTCCTCTCTGAGATGAGATAGGGTTTGTAACTTTGTTTTGTATTTTATGATTTATAAAATAAATAATTAAAATATATAATTTGGTAAATAAATTTTTATACAAAATTTGGGTCAGGCTTTGGCCCAAACAACTAAAAGAATAATGGCCCAAAGACCAAATAGTATAAAGGCCCGCCCAAAGGCCCCAAACACACATTTTTTGTAGAATCGGTAGAATCGTATAGAATCGTACGATTCTACGATTCTAACAACGATTCTAACGATTCTACCTACGATTCTATCAATTGGGCGATTCTGATCCGATTTGAGTCGATTTTAAGAGCTGAGTCGTAGAATCGTGCAATTCTACGACTCAGAATCGCGATTTTAACAACCATGATTAGAACACAGGTTCAAGTCTGAGGGTGCATATTTTCGTGCAAAAAATAGGCCTGTACATGAACTTTAATCATGGTCTTGAACTTAACTTATTCAACCATGATAATGCACATGAATTAAATAAACAAACTATGACTTTCAAATAAAATTATACTAGTCATTGACTCATTGGATGTTGGCTGACTAGATTTTAATGCCTTTATATATATATATATATAACTACGGCAAGACACATATTTTAAGGAGTTAAACTATAGCATCTAAATTAAATGGTTATTCCAATCAAAATGTGAACATAGCAAAAATAGTACTGTAGTAGTAGTAGTAATAATAATAATAATAATAATATTAATAATAATAATTTGTAATGAAACTTACAAATAAAATTATACTAGTCATTGGATTTCAACACATGCCTTCACTCTAGATTTATGCATATAACTTCTAACTAATATATATAAATTTATAACCCAAATTAACATAAAAACATACTACATCTGCAATAAGTCAAAATATAATGACACTTGCATGCATACTTAGATAAATGGCATTGCCTCCATGGTCTCGTTACAAACCACTAAAATGTAAAATGAGAAATTATGATATGTGATTTAATAGGAACTCCAAAGATAAATGGGTGGGTTTCTAAATCTTTTCCTTCCTCCAAAAATACATACAAACATCATAAAAGAATGTTGTCCATCAATACACGTGAATTCAAACTAAGCAAGAGCTATTACATAGCAAGTCATCGTCAAGAGGTCTCAAAAAAATCATCAAAGCCTAATCCTTAATTGAGCTAGTCCACATAATATTAACCCTCACATAGCATGTAATTTCAACGTTGTCTGTTACAAGTTGTGTCACCATGGCCTTGCAAGAAGGGCATCACTTTACCAGAGACTGGTTGTGTACAAGTTAGCAGTTGCAAAGAGAGGGCTTGAGAGTTGAGAGACAGCAGACCAGAGGTTGAAGCTTGCAAACGGCGAACTTGAACTAGAACAACGGGCGACGGAAGCTGAAGGATATGCGTTTTGATATTGTGAACAATCTGAAATGATATGCCGATATAGGTTCTGATTCTTGTAGATTTTGTAGTTTGCAGTTGCAGAGACAGAGAGAGGGCAAGTTCAGAGTTGAGAACTAGAATAGAGATGGAGCCGATTTCAAATTTCCACTGTAAACAGAGTATCATTTTTCATTTGTTTTCCAGGAAACATGAGAAGGGGAAACAGAAAGTACAAATCAAAATTTGAATCTTATGCCTTTTATTATTTTAGGATGTTAGAAAAACGAAAAGCCCGTCTCAATCAAGCTAAGTATAGTTTAATAAACCTTGAATTACCAAAGATACATACTTGGGTACCAAATGAATGAAACCCTAACATGCGAATTTTCAATTCATTTTCTTTTCCACATTTTCCCAGCAACCATACAAGCAACAACATTCAAGAATAAAAGAGAAACAACATTCAAAGATTGGACAAGTCACTAGTCTTACCTTCACGCTTATCCTCCTACGAAGAGAACTTTTCAATCTCTTCATCGACACTACGCCACAACTCCCACTTCTGGGTGGCCGATGTGGATTCGGTGGTGCGACCTCGCCGGGGATGCTTGAGGGTTTGTGGGTGATTCAAAATCATCATCGTCGTCGTTATTCAAAATCATATCTGATATGCCGATATGGGTTCTGATTCTTATAGATTTTGTACTTTGCAGTTGCAGAGACAGAGAGAGGGCCGAGTTGAGAATGAGAATAGAGATGGAGGCGATTGGGGAGACTGAAATGATTTGCCCTAAAATATAGTATGTGTGTGAACTGTACATGTGAGTAAATATATTTTTGTATATAAAATATATTTTTTTAAATTTTTTTTTTAAGAAACTAGCGGGAATAACACCCGCGGATAAGTGAAAGTAACTTCACTTTCTAACACGGTGCCTATATCGTGGTAGAATAAATTATTACCACGGTTTTCTATTAATCGTGGTAAAAAGAAGAGTGGAAACAGTGAAATAAATTCACTTTCTACCACGGTTTTAAAATAACCGTGATAGAAAGACCACCTAAATTACATTAAAAATAATTCACTTTCAACCACGGTTAATTTATATAAAAATAACCGTGGTAAAAGAATATACTTTCTACCACGGTTTTTCATTAACCGTGGTAGAAAGGGTCTTCTACCACGGTTTTATAATTATCGTGATAAAAAATATACTTTTTACCACGATTATTTTTAAACCGTGGTAGAAAGGGTCTTCTACCACGGTTTTTTTAAAACCGTGGTAAAAAACTATTTTTCTTGTAGTGATCATGTACTAGCTCCACCCGTTACTGTATTCCCTTGGAGAAGATATAAATTTTTCACCTTGGTGCCCTATATCACCACAAGAGAATCCATCACGACCATCATTGTTCCACCCTATGTTACAACCTTGTAACCTTTAGAGTCTAACACACCTACTAAAATAAGATTCATCTTTAGATCCGGTACATGTCACACATCTAACAATGTTCTCACCAACCCATTGTGCGTCTTGATCTTGACGGTTCTAATTCCCAAAATTTTGAAAGCTTTCCTGTCTGCAGTCAAAATCGAACCACTTTTCACCTCTTTATAGGAACACAAAGTTGTTATGAGAACATATTCGTCACTTTCCGAATCATTCGGTATAGCAGTTGCCACAGAAGCTACTTCTTGAACCTTTTCTTTGCCATTCCCATTCTTTGCCTTTAGTTTGGGACAGTGTTTGATGATGTGCCCTATCTCGTGGCAGTAGTAACATTCCATAATTTTATGAGATCTAGATTTGCCCCTACTACCAGAACTCTTTGTCTCACTTTTGCCTCTTACAAATAGACCCTCGGCCTATTAATCGTCACTATTCCCAGACACCTTTTTCCTCAACTCCTAAGAGTTCAATGAGGATTTAATATCCTCCATACTAATAGTGTCTTTTCCATAAAGCAATGTAGTAACAAAATGCTCATAGGAAGGAGGCAAATAACACAACAAAATAAAGGCTTGATCCTCATCATCAATTTTAATATCAGTATTTTTCAAATCCATGATAATAGAATTGAAATTATCAATATGTTTCTCAAGAGGCATACCTTCCATCATACGAAGGGTGTAGAGTCTCTATTTTAGGTAAAGTCTATTGGTGAGAGATTTCGTCATATACAAACTCTCCAATTTCAGCCACAACTTTGTCGCTGTGTCTTCGTCAATAACTTCACCCAGCACATCATCAGCTAGATTCAAAATAATCGCACTACGCGCCTTTTCATCGACCTCATCCTTGTCTTCATTGAACATAGTTGTTGGCAACTTGTCCTTTCCGAACAACACCTTCTTCAGACCTTGCTGAGTCAGCAGGCCTGCATCTTAATGCGCCAAAGACTGAAACTAATCTTGCCATCAAATTTCTCAATCTCGTATCTTGTCGACATCTCAAAAAACTCCCCAAAAAATATTTCTTGGTGAATAGTACCATATTTGTAAACAGTACTCGAATAGTATCTGTGAACAGTATCATACACGTTAACAGTATCTGTACACAATACACGAACCCGAGCTCTGATACAAGTTTGTTATGAAAAAAAAGATCGAAAATGAGTTTATGAGATCAAAGAGAAAAATAATTGACAAGAATATAAAATAACGCGCACACAAACGAAATAAGGATTTATGTGGTTTGGTTATGCCTACGTCCACGGGGAGAAGACAGAATAATATTCCATTATGGAAATAAAGAGATACAAGGCAAAGTGGCTCACAACCAAAACCCAATTACACCCAAGCTCTCTCACTCTCCAACTGATATTATTACAAACTCACTCACTCAACTAATGAATGATTTTCGGATGATAAAATAGCATATGGGCATAGACTATTTATAACCAAACAAAAGCAACTTAGGGCCCGTTTGGAATGCGTTATATTTTGTAGTGTTTTGTAATGTGGTGTTCTGAAATGAGAACAAAACATGTTTGGCGATGAAAATTTGCGGTGAGAATTTTGGAACAAAAACATGGTAGAACATATTTGGTAGCATTTTTTACCTTCTGAAAATATCCCTAATTTTAAAGATATGGGTTTTGATTTTTTGAACAATCTAAAATGATATGGCCATATGGGTTTTGATATATAAGCTGAAATATATAGGTTTTGAACTTTTGATTCTTGTAGATTTTGTAGTTTCCAGTTGTAGAGAGAGAGAGGGGGGGGGGGGGCAAATACGATTTAGTTTGCAAAACAAGAATTACAAGCTTGATTAGTTGACTTAGAAAAAAAAAATTAAAACAAAACCCATACACACAAGTTAGCAGTTGCAGAGAGAGAGGGTGGCAAGCTTGAGAGTTGAGAGACAGCGGCTAAAGCTTGCGAACGGCGAACTAGAATTGGAATAGCGGGCGATGGAAACTGAAAGATATGGGTTTTGATATTTTGAACAATCTGAAATGATATGTCGATATGGGTTTTGTAGTTTACAGTTGCAGAGAGAGAGGGGGAAACTTTAGAATTGAGAACGAGAATAGAGATTGGGGCTAATATTTTGAACTTTTGATTCTTGTAGACTTTGTAGTTTGCAGTTGCAGAGAGAGAGAGAGGGCAAGTTCAGAGTTGAGAACGAGAATAGAGATGGAGGCAGATTTTGAACTTCTGATTCTTGTCGATTTTGTAGTTTGCAGTTGCAGAGAGAGAGAGGGCAAGTTCAGAGTTGTTTTTTTAAAAATTAGGGCAAGTTCAGAGTTGAGAATGAGAATAGAGATGGATACGATTGATGATTTGCCCTAAAAAAAAATTTGTCCCGCTACAGTGCAAATTGGGTCGGTCAAGTTGTGGAACAAGCCAGAACACCTTTTTTTTGTTTTAACTTTTGGGCCATATTTTAAAAGTGTTCTAGTACTATTAAAAACAAAACAAGGCGGCCCAAACATATTTTGTTCTCAAAATAGGTTATTGTAGCGGGCCTGAAACTTTACAAAACAAAATAGAACACTTCCCAAACAGGCCCTTATGCTTGCTGATTAAGCATATGGGCAGATACCACAGCTTGGTGATTAAGAAAATGCACAGGTTCTTGATCAATCTACTTGGCTGCCAAGTTAATAAAGTTATGGGTGATGCAATCACACTTGATGAGTTGGAAAATTTTAGCCACATATTCAACAGCGGTGGTATTAGGGACTCTCACAGCTGCGGGGTTAGCGCCAATAGGTGGATGGATGAATTCCCTTTGGATGAATTATGAGAATGAGGTGAAAGGAAAGATAGATATAATGAATTCAATAAACTTTTGGATTCTCATTGGTAAAGCTGACTTGGAAAACATTCGAGTAGTTGTTGATAAATTGAATAATGAGTTTGTGTCACTATTGGAAAATGTTGTTTTTGCTCCTACAAAAGACGCTCACTACAAGAAAAAAGGGCTTCTACGGGGGGCCAAAACCGCCGTGAAAAGTTATTCACGGCGCATTGTTGACCCTCGTGTATGAGGGTTCCGTAAATACTTAAATTTATTTACAACATGGATATTTTCCCATTAATAATTAATTTACGAGGCACCGACGCATGCCGTAGAAAAGTTTTCTGTGGCGAATTGTAACTACCCGTAAATAATCTCACGAGGCACCAATGCATGCAGTAGAAAAGTTTTCTTCGGTGAATTGTAACTACCCGTAAATAATCTCACGAGGCATCGACGCATGTCGTAGAAAAGTTTCTACAGCGAATTTTAACTATCCGTAAATAATCTCATGAGGCACCAACGCAAGTCGTAGAAAAGTTTCTGCGGCGAATTTTAACTACCTGTAAATAATATAAACCATTCTAACGAGGTGCCATGTATGCCGTAAAAAAGTTATTTACGAGTATTTTCACTAATATATGACCTTTTATTTACGGGGTTTTAAGCACCCCGTAAATAAAATCTAAATATATATATATATATAAAAATAAAGTACCCTTAATTAATGTCAGTTAATCAATTATCCACAACCTGTAATTCACATCATTTTTAGCTATAATTCAATTCAAAAAATATATCCCATTAAACATATCAAAAGAGTTAAAATATTTTTACAATTCATCATTTATTATTGTGCCAAAACAATTCAAAATTTATCAATGTTCCAAAGTAGGAAGTAACTCCATTTGTAAAAAAAAATCATCAATTTCCTAACACTTCTGTTGAAAAATTGATAAACCTTCTAGCACTCGAGTTTCAGTCTACACTTGTCAAAAAACCACCTCACTGTACAAAATCCAAGGAAGTAACTGCATCACACAAGTCTCAAATTCATAATGCTGATAAAAAAGGGAAAGAACAAGATTATCATTTATAAATCAAACACAAATATTTTGCTAAGAATTTCTTCCTCAGATCTGCCAAAAATATTTCAAGCAGATAATTTTCCTTAATTGAATACTAGATTTTTGCACGGATGTATGAGAACAGATAATATCATAATCTCTTTATATCCATGAGATAAAAAGAATACATATTTTAGCTGACTCGAACCATAAATTTAGGATTGTATTACACTCAGTGGTTAAGTGTGGCATTTTTGAATTACCTGACTAATTACACTCAGTGTACAAGTTTTGTGTATTAATAATATATTCATTATTTTATTTTATTATAAATTACCCACAAGACAAATAATCAAGCTTCACCTAACTAGGTTGATAATGGTCTATGTTGTCTAAAAACACTAACCACATGCAGACCCTCAAGAAATCAAGTGCAGTAAATTGTGTTGATTTGCTCTCAGCTGCAAATCCTGCCATGATTGGATTGTATTTTCAATAGAGAATCACATAGCAGAACAGTCCAAAAATAAGCATATGATCCATTGATTTTGACAAAAACCTGTCCCTTCATGAAACTATCACTTTCTATTAAACATATACTAATTAGATAATATAATTTTTTTAACAAGACAGTCTTAAAGGAATCTTGAATACCTTTCACTCCCATACTTTATTCCTTTAATTTATACATTAATCCCTTGTCTTTGTAATGTACTTCTAGTAATATTTTTAGTATTTTCTTAAGGGTTAGCCCTCTTTAAAGGCTGGGAACAAAACACCAACGTGTGGAGATTGGTTGTATTAATTAAATAAAATCACATTTAACTCTTTCATTAACACGTACCATTAAGCAATAGGCTAATACAGTGTGCTATAGAAACAGCCCTTAGTTATCAAAGCTCTCAAAAGGGTTTATCTAAGTCTTTTTCTTCTTATGTCATTTTCTGGCTAATTAATTATATATACTAGTTGATGAAATACACAAATAAATAGGAGCTGAATTTATTTCAAAGTCAAGTTATGGTTCTGGTTCCTTCAGCATGAGTATGAAGCTCCCCGGCAATGAATCCACAAAAGTTGCAACAATTTTCAAGGTAACAAAATACATATATATCACATATTTATAATAATAATAATTATTATTATTATTATTATTATTTTAATTATTTTTTTATATATAACTAGTTCGATTCCACCACTAGGTAAGAAGAATTATAAGAATATATATACTTTTTTTCTTTTTCCGGGCAGATCGAATCGTTCACAACCTACACTCTAGAAAATTGGGTTGAACTAGAATTCCTATATATGTACTTAGTCCAAACAAATGTGTATGCAATTGATACATTGGATAGAAAGCAAATTATCCGTCTATGGTTTGATCCCACTACAAGCTTCCATGACTACCCCATCCTCTGGAACCCTCATCAAATAGTGTAAGCAAACCACAATAGCACAGATGCTAAATTACATATATATATTTACTCAACTTTCGCGCAAACTATCTTTGATTCATTCAATCCCATTCTGCTACTTGCCATATGCATTCTAACATGGCTATCTGTTTGGATTGATTCCTTAAATCATTATATGCTACAGGTTTAGAAAACTCTGTTCTAAAGAAGAAACATCAGCATCGATCCCAAGATGTTTGTCTCTATATATTTTAAAAGTATTACAATTATTACTTCACATATTGAAATTGAAAAGTTATTACTTCACCGATAAAAATTCACTACAAGAAAAAAGGGCTTCTACGAGGGGCCAAAAACGCCGTGAAAAGTTATTCACGGCGCATTGTTGGCCCTCGTGTATGAGGGTTCCGTAAATACTTAAATTTATTTACAACATGGATATTTTCCAGTTAATAATTAACCTACGAGGCACCGATGCATGCCATAGAAAAATTTTCTACGGCGAATTTTAACTTCCCGTAAATAATCTACGACGCACCAAGGCATGCCGTAGAAAAGTTTTCTACGGCAAATTTTAACTACCTGACAATAATATAAACCATTCTCACGAGGTGCCATGTATGCCGTAGAAAAGTTATTTACAAGGATTTTCACTAATATACGGCCTTTTATTTACAGGGTTTAAAGCTCCCCGTAAATAAAAAATATATATATTTTTTAATAAATAAAGCACCTTTAATGCTCGTTAATCAATCATACATAACCTGTAATTTAATTAATGCCAATCATCCACAATCTGTAATTCAAATCACTTTCATTTATAATTGAATTCAAAAAACATATCTCATTAAACATATCTCATTAAACATATCAAAAGAGTTAAAACATTTTTACAATTCTTCATTTATCAATGTGCCCAAACAATTCAACATTTATCAATGTTCCAAAACATAAAGTAAATCCATTTGTGAAGAAAATCATCAATTTCCTAGCACTTCTGTTGAAAAATTGATAAACCTTCTAACACTTGAGTTTTAGTCTGCACTTGTCAAAAAATCACCTCACTGTACAAAATCCAAGGAAGTAGCTGCAAAATTCACGGTACAAAATCCAAGGAAGTAGCTGCATCACACAAGTCTCAAATTCAGAATAAAACAAAGAAATTGAATCAACAAGCAATAATCCATAAACCATTACAGTGTTTAAGTAAGCTATTAAGGGTATTGCACAATGGCAATGTTCAGCACAGTTTGAATGCATTCATGGGACGCACCAGTAGGGCATTAAAACCTTAGGTATTTACCAATAGCACTTAACCATGTTTGGGTCCTCAGGATTCAACATATTCAAATACACAAAATAAAGTGTATAATGTGTAGATGCACAATTAGAGGGGATAAAAGAAGATCCGACATGTTTAAAAGCAAGCAGACATTTTTATATATTTGTATAATTTAAGTACTGCAGTAGATCATCTGTATGTCTAGTAGAGAGAAGCAGCAATACCCTATCTCTCTGTCTAGAAACTTATCAAGGAATTGGTATCGCTAACCAAGTTGAAATTTTCTGGTACAGAATTGGTGCGTCATGTGAGGCTAACAAAGCACCAAAGGCCTACTGAGAAAAAGAGGCAGTAAATATATCTGTTGTATTTTTGAAGTCAAAGAAAGACACCTAGGCACAAAAAGATGATGCTTATTCCATAAAATAATCAGCATAAGCAAGTAGAAACCTAATCAAAAGATCTAATTCAGGTACAATGCCAAAATAAGAAAAGGTAAAGATAAAACTTCAAGCAGCATCAGAAGTTCAGAACTCAAAGAAGAGAAGTTTAAAGGGTGGAAAATGCACAAGAGAAAGGGAAATCTTAATAATTATTGCAAATTTTATACACATGCTTGCAAGTAAAAGTTGGAGAAAACTTACTTTCCAAAAGAAAAGAAAAGAAAAAAAAGGTTGAAGAAAACTTGTGGGTTCCATCAAGGGTATTTTCAAGAATGATTAGGTGCCTTCACACCGTATCATCATACTTGCTTGACAGAAAAAAAATTATTTAAAAATAAAGAACAAATTAATTAGCCTTTATTTAATATTTCCTCTTGATTATCTTGAGATGGGGGTTTAAGGGATGGGCTAATACAACCAGAACAAGATATTTTACTGTCACTTTTAATTCTGCCATTGCCCACTCATCCACTCTCTTCTAGGGTCTTGGGGATTCCTCACCCTACCTCAGGTTACTTTTTATAAAAACATAAATTATTCAAGAGAAATTTGTCATGTACGAAAATGTTGAAGACGGAAATAAATCATAACAAAAATAATAAACACAAAGCTTCATAAAAGAAGAGGGTTCTTTTTTCTTTTTCCATCTACATTCAGAAAAAGTAAAAAGAAAAAAAGACAAACAAAGAGCATGAAGTGAAAATATAGCCCAATTACACACTTCCATTGTAACGAGACAGATGTTTCATTACTCTTTATTCTTTTATACTTTGTTTGGTACGAATGATGGAAAAATGGGTGGAAGGGAGGAAATGAATGAGACATATCTAGGAAAGGAAAGGTGGTGTCTCCCATTCCTTTCTTTCTTTCCTAAAGAATAAGGATAAATGAACAAAAGAAAATTCAGCCAAAACAAAAGGTACTTCATGAAACATCTTCAGTGTCTTTTCAGATTCTGAATTGTTTCTCAGGAAACATATCAAATCATTATATCATGAAATAAATGCAAACCACGCTATCAATTAATTATTTTAAACTACAGACCAGCAGAGCAAATATTGAGTCACATACACTTAACAGAATTTTCGAAAGGCTGCCTTTTGGATTTTATTATAACATAGGGAATGATTTCAATATATTTCATTTTGTACCCAAATACAATTTATCCAAGGCAAACTTAGTTACAGTTAGTTTCATATTAGATTTTTCATAGTGCTCTTTTTTATTCGTTTCCCAATCTAGTGCATAACTGTGCAATCAAAATTTTATACGTTGATAGGTCATTCTGATCCATGAAGACCAGATTTAGGTTCCTCGTGAATGGTGTGGGACTCAGCATGTGAGAGAGGATAAATGGACACCACCATTGAACAAAAAAAAGAAAAAAGAAAAAAAAATATAAAATAAAATTATTACTCAAAATTTGTCGCCCTAGCCGACTAGTTTGAGTCGTTTCATGTGTTCACTTCAGCCAGAACAGTACATAGTCAATTTGGATCATTTCTGACCATGAACCAATAATAGATCATCCTCCATGCCAATGTCATCAATGCAGCCAATTCTCAAAGGAGGATGGACTCAAACAAAACCTTAGACTTTACAATACAATTTGGGCCTAAAAGATATCCTAGAAACCCTAAAGATGGTCTATGATATCCTAATTTTTTAACTCTTTGTTGTCAAAAGACAATTTTTCCCCTATGCATATTAGCAAGTTGCCACTGCAACAAAATAAATAAATAAATAAATAAAGAGCCCTACTGTTTCCAGCTGCATTTATGTAAACTTGTGAAAGTAGAATCCAAAATACTGACCATATGGATAAGAGAGTGTTTGGCTCGTGACATCCCCTTTTTGGATAATACTGTTTGGATACATATTAATTATTGTATGCAAAAATATCTTCACTCTTGACTTTGTACAACTCTGTATAATCTCTAGTGTCAAGGTCTATTGTGATTTGTGAAACTCACCTCAATGGGACCTGTCTAATAGTAAATATAATGTTGTTGTGGTGGTTAAGACTTGATACCTAAAAAATTAAAGGTAATGCAAAATAGCCAATGCTTTACAGTAATCAAATAGCAAAATATATAGTAAAATTGTAAAAGTGATTAATTAATCGGAAAGCAGCCAAAATGGTCACTTAAGGCACGTGACCCCCTATACACCGTAATATGCGATGAATGAAAACCAAACTCCATCCGCAACAATTTTCCGACCTCCATTTATGCACAATAATAATAAAAAAATGGCCACTTAAGGCACGTGACCCCCTAAAACAATCAACTTTTTGCCATGGTGATAATAAAAATGAAGAAGCATAGTATTTGACCTTTGTTGTAGACTGGAATCATAGAAATATTGATTCTTCTGCTCTTAATAAACCAGTGATAATCAATCCTGTCAAAAAAAATATTTAAAAAATGTAATGCCAATAAATACATAAAAAATTAGATCGTATGACTAATTTAAAAATAATAATAATAAGTTAGTGAATGACTAATTATTATTTAAAGTTGGTACAGTTTCAACTAGTAAAATAGCAAAGCTTATATTCATGGCAGAGTTACAGGACAATCACCCAATAGAAATAGGAGTGAAAAGCACAACACTAAAGGGGAGCAAGATTCACAACCTAGCGACAACCTAGGAAACCAATCTCTTTGTAACTAATAATGGGAAATAATGCTGACCTACTACAAAAAAAATAAAGTGACGATATAAACCTAACAAATTAAGTCCAAAATAGGAGTATGTTATTCCCTATGAAACACCAAGGTCCAAAATATTCTTGTTCCACATGGCATCTTGTTGACATGCTTTATCCTTGAAATTTTGCAGCTAATATTATATCAAAATAATTATAATCGTATGGCCTTTTAACAATAGATATTGCCACATACAATATGATTTCCTAAATCGAATTAAAGTTGGGAATCGAAGAAGATGTGCCTATATTTAGTTTGTTTTAGGGATTGTTCAACCCATTATTTTCATTGTCTTTCTACAACTATCATCTACAAAAAATTAATTTTATCAAAGTGGTTTAGAGAAATCACATTAGTTTGAGGATAATAAAGTGCATTCAAAATTTGTAAACCTTCCGAGAGTCTAAATGGCTAGTGAGTAGGTTGATTCTTCATTACAAAAAAATAAAAATATTAAATAAATAAATAAATCACATTAAGCAAAACATGTAACTTAAAAAAGTTTAATGAGTTTGTTGGCCAATCATTTTCAAGCATAAGAATCAATTTCTTTAAACAATGAAGAAATTAAAAGTGCAATAAAAAAAACAACAGGAATTCTTAAATTGTTGACTAGAATAAAAGCATAGAATCTTTGGCAAAATGGATCCCACATAAAAGTTATCTAAAAATTGAAACTTAGTACTTGAAAAAGTTAATCACAAAATTTAGAATTAATCATCATGCATATGGCAGACAATAGGCAGAAAAAAATATTTAAATTCTCTTTACTTAAAGTGTTCAATTCTGTATTACCAAGAATTAAAGAATTATACTTCAATAAAACATCCATACATAGCATACACAAATGAATTACATACCAAAAATTTAAGTTCATTTATTGAATAAAGTTTTCATTGAATTGTCACTCAAAACTCACCCCTCAAGAAAAAAGTTTTATAGTTCCTTGAATCAATGGAGAGAAATGGTTTTGAAATCAATGCTTTAACCACCTTATAAGATCCTTAATTGACGAACATTCACTTCAAACTTCAAAGCCAAGCCAAAATACTTAAAAACAAGAATACTTCTAAGAAACCAAATAAGCATTTCCAGTAACTTTCCAAAATTTTGTTCCAAAGGTAACTATTTTTGGGATAAATCTACTTTTACAAGAAGCCAATCTCTCAATCAATTTTAAGAACCCAATAAACTGCTAAACACCTTCACTATAGCTCCCCTCATATTTATTATGCAATTTTTATGCAAAATTCAACATATGTTTTTTTGCTACCATTTATGAATATATCATCCAACAAAAATATATTGAAAAATGGGATAAGAAAGATACAATACAATACAAAAATTAAAAACAAAACAAAACAATATTCAATCCGCACATAAATAGAAGCATAACTTTGAGCTCAAAACATAAAATCTGACTTCAAAATAATTTTCTTCATAAACCTAACCAATTCAAATTGAACTATGCATTAATCATCTTATAATGTCATTTCTAACCCTTATAGGAGCATTGGCCTTCTTTAACAAAAAAAAAAAAAAAAAAACCAACTTAACACATAATCATCTTATATAAGGTCAAGGCACAATATTATAATTCAATTTCTTCTTTCCTGTACTCTACACTTTACTTGCTAGCATAGAAAAGTTCAATATATAATTAATATGAGGATCCAAGGTCTGCAAACTATTCTGAAGATAGTTAATGGCACTCTCGAACAGATATATTTGGAGGAAAAAGGAATTGGTTGGTTTTAAGTTTGGTTGGCCTAAGGGGCGACACAAAGGCCCCAAAAGAGAGGCTGGGGTCACTAAAACCCCAACAAGTCGAGTCATGCAAAGAAAGCACTTTGAAAACACCTTGATATTGATAGCGAGATCAATTATGACGAAATTCATAGAGTTGACGCTTTGTTTTAGATGGCAAATTGAAAGACTAACCCCAATTTCGTAATACACTGTCAAAGACTAACCCTAATTTCATAATACACTATCAAACTACCTTGAAGTTGTATCCTTATAGAAACCTAAGTAACTAAAAAACACACCAAGTAATTTGGTAATCTCTCTCAATAATGATACAGTAATATATTCACATATAGCTTGCTTATCAACTAAATAAATCATACTAATATTTTGATGATAATAAGTAGTTATCATGTTCTTTACTTGATTCAAATGTTTTCAAGAGTTTGCTAAAATCATTATCCATTAACTTGCTATCTAATTAAATTGATCAAATCCCTAGTTGATTTGGATATAACAATTCAGAAGAAAAAAAATTTGTAATGTAGCTTATGTTCAAAACTAGGGAATAAAGATCAGAATTTCAATCGCACAAAATTTATAGCACTAATACCCCAAACAAAGTTATATCAAAGCAATAATTTATAGGAGCTCAAGAAAATAAAAAACCATTATCAAAACTATAGAAAGAGAACACCAAACAAAAACACTACAATAGTCCCATAGTGATAATCAGAATTCATAAATAAAAAATAAATAAATAAATACAACAATCAAATTGTAATACTAAATTAACAATCCAAACTCATTATTAAAAAATTAAAAGGAAATATTCAACACAACTTAGTCACAAAAATCAAAATTCAACTCTATATCAATGTAAATATTCAAGGCAAATAACCTCACGAGATCCTAAGAAGAGTGTCCTGCTAGCATGTGAAAGAAGATCACAATTAACATAAAACGGATGGAGAATCAAACGAAAACAATAATAACTAAGCATTGCCGATCATACAATAAATATAATATTAAAAAAAAAAAAACAAAACAAAAATCAAGCAGTAGGGTCGAATGATATCCTGGCTGGAGTTTTCACTGGAGCTATGTGTGTGTTTTTTTTGGGAGTCAATTACCCCTTTCTTGATTTCAGGATGAGGAATCAATTTTAGTAGCAGGGATTGATTGATCATTGCTACAGAAGACCTGTGCAAATTAATAGAAAAAACCATGAACTTTTGTTTTGTTAAATCCTGCTCTTGATTTCCATGTGTTTGTACATTCCGATGGCAAGTGCTTTGAGCCTTTGACAGTATTATTAACTAAAATCCTAGCTAAGCCAACTTCAAATAACATCAATAATGGTGGCATGTATCTTCATATAAAAATAAAATAAAAATAAAAAATAAAAAAAAAACCGTTAATTATTCCTCAGTAAAAATAGAATGAGAAAATCCTTAATTATTCCTTCTAGCAACTTACACTAGATATAAGCATTTATCAGTAAAAATAGAATGAGAAAATTAAATATTCAAATACTCCAAATTTGAGAAATTTTAATCAGTAAACTAAATTAGTTGAGGAAATGCTACCTGTATGTGATTGAGAATACAAAACCAGACAAATCAACAACCTCAAGTTCTCAGTCAAAGCATCTCTCCAGCCTTTCCATGATCTCCATTCGGACCATCTTTATTGTCTCTGGATTCTGAAATCAACCAACCCATTTTAGAATTTAGACCCTCCCATCCACTGCAAATTACATCAAATCCGGAGATACACATTTAAAAAATGCAAAATGAAATTATGAAACATCCTATCTAATTGCTGAATGTTGAGTACTAATGCTCTAGAATAAAGAAAAAAAAAAAAAAAGAAATTTAACAATGGTAATTGACCCTTAATTAAGCAGCCAGCATAGCTAGAGCCATCATATATAATTTGGAGTTGCAAAGCAAATTTAAACTACTCCGTATAACCAGCATAGCAAGAGCTATCAGAAGACCTGTGCAAATTAATAGAAAAAATCCATTAACTTTTGTTTTGTTAAAGCCTGCAAGTGCTTTGACAGTATTATTAATTGAAATTCTAGCTGACCCAACTTCAAATAACATCAATGATGGTGGTATATATCTTCATATAAAAATAAATTAAACTTTTGTTTTAAAAAAAAACCCTTAATTTGGCACTTTTAAGTCTAAGCATAATTTAGAGATCGAAAAAGTTAATTATTACCTCAAGTCCTCAAACCACTAGAAGGGATCTTTAATTTTCGTAGGATTGAATGTGAAAATGTAAAAAATTACGAGGAAAAGGGGCATGGTTGCTGCTGTTGTGAGACTGGAGTGCGCTTAAGGAGAGGAAAACAAAAAGATCGATTAATGCAAAAGGAGAGAGAAGAGAGAGAGAGGGTGAACATACCTTGTCACGGAGTCACCTGAGCCTGAGGCGATAGGTTGAAAACCCTAACCTCGTTGAAGCTTTTTTTGGGAAGAAATTGATAGAAGTTGGGTTTTTCCTTTTTTCTGTCCGGTATATGTATTTAAGCAGATTATATATATTAATTGTGCCCGCCACCTATTTTACTTTGGCAATTTGGCGGGCTAGTGAAAATGGGTTGGGGGGAAAACTTTTATTGCTTATTTACGGGGAAAAAAAAGGCGTCTTAGATGTGTTGCTTATTTACGGGAAAAAAAAGGCGCCTTAGATGTAAAATTTATCTACGACGCCTTTAATACACCATAAAAGAACTTGAGTGTGCCTATTCAAGCTTATTTACCAGGGAAAAAAAAAAAAAGGCCTTAAATGTGAAATTTTAGTGTCTTCATCAACGAGGAACATTTATCCCGTAAAAGGTGTACAAATATACCGTAAATATATTTAAATATTCACGGGCTCTTTAATACGCCGTAAAAATATTTTTCTACGACGATTCTATAAAATCCTCGTGAAAGCATGTCCTATTACGAGGATTCTTTTAAAAACTCCGTAAATGATGGTAATCACAACGCAAAATAAGGAAGCCCCGTAAATACTATGTTGTAAAAGCCCACTTTTCTTGTAGTGATTGCAAAGCACATAAATGACAAGCAAAAAAAAGTTGGCTTGTAGTGCCAAAGAATAGCCGGTTTCAAATATCTAGCTGAAAATGAAAAATTCTATTTGGATTTTCAATTTTTAAAATCCAAAACCCAAAGAATGGGTGTTTGGTTGGTTTTTCTGGATGTGGTTTGCTAGATAGTTCTGCCCATTTCTCTTCTACTCCTGATACTAATATGATGGCTAGTATGGATGTTACTAAACCACAAAGACAAGGAAGGGCATGGTAAGCAACAAAATGCTTTGGGGGGTAATGAGGAACCATTGTTGGCAACGGATGCATTTATTATAAAAAAAAAACATTATAAAAGCTACGACAAGAGAGAAAAAAAAAAATTCTAAAGGGATTGAATTATGTATTCATCATAAAAAAGTATTTAATAGAGATTTTAATTTATAAAAAATACAAGCAGATAGTGCAAACTTAGGGATCTATCAAGGACATTCAGTGTGTGACATCTCCTCAAAAAGCATTTAATAGAGATTTTAATTTATCAACAATATAAGCAAATAACGCTAACCTGGGAACTATGAAAGGACATTCAGTGTATAAAATACTTCATATTTAGTTAGTGGGATACTTCTTCATTCATTTAAGAGTAAGTTTACACAAATTCAGCAAAAGCATAATATGATAAATAATATAACAAGTTTTGCACCATGAAGTATTTACATCAATATTTTGAAGAAATAGGAGTACGAACCTTTCCAACATCATTCCTTCCCAAGTCAACTAGCATAATCAGCTCTGCACATTGCTTTTCATCATTCAAAAGCTGCTTTTCCAACATATAATCTTCCTTGGGCGTCTTCCCTCTCCTAATCGTCCCAACAAGGGGTCGATTGGTGACCTTCGTCTGTCAATAAGAGTGGAATATGCACATCCATGCTGTTAATTAAAAATTAAACTGCTGTAGAGATGCTTATGAAAAATGCAATCATTCTGCAGCGAGTACAGGCAGAAATTGGAATTTTTTTGCTATCAATGATAAAATACAAGAATAGTTGAGAGCACCAATTGCTCTATTACTCCTTTTAAAAATGGATTTATTACCTTTTTCATGCGAGTAAGAATTTCTGGACTTGAAGCAACTAAAATACATCCTCTAGCATGATCACAAGGAAAGTTCCAAAAAGAGTTGGAATTAAAAATTAAAATGAATGCCTCAGCAAAAAGTTTCAGGGAAGAGTAGACACACTAGTAAATAAGTCATATATGGACTTGGATTAAACAATTCTCAATGCCCTATAGATTTCAAATGGGTCTGCAAAAGTTTGTTGTTCAAATCGTTTACTTAATACAATCCGAAAAATATCCCCAGCCAGGATATGTTCTTTAGCTTGAAGCACTGCTTCCTTGTATGCTTCACTTGTCATGGTTGACTCCTTCAATGAAGGACCACACAAGGTACTGTATAATTTAATTAAACCTGCAGCCAGCCTTGGGCTGAAATTTAAAGTCAAATTGAGCATACTACTAATGAATATATAAACAGCATAATGAATGGAGTGGATCATTAAATTCTTCAACTTGACTCCTTTGTTGGAGTTGATAGCCTAATTTTCAACAATCATTTGGACTTCTCCTCCCTAGTTAATTTACATCCTTTTTTCCAAACTCAATCATTCACCTCTCAGTTACAGCTCTTGCCAGATCCTTAATTGGACTCTGATATGATTAGTTGGGTGCCATCTGCTTCAAATAACTTCTCATCGTCTCACACATTAGACTATCTCTCCCCACCCTCCATTATCTTCTCATGGCGTAACCTCTTAGTTTGGTGTAGATGAATGAAATAAGGTTGGAATGAAATGAATCAAGGAATGGAATGATCATTCCCATTACCATGTTTGGTTCCATTACCTTATTTGATTGTAAATGAGTTAAAAAAGGAAAATTATTCAACCAAATACAGAATATTTATATATATATACATATATATTATTCTCCATTCCCAATCTTCCAAACACGATTCAAATTCTGAACAGAAAATCACCGGTTCATCTTCTTCATTGCCGATTCATCCTCACCTGTTCAGCATCGGCATCCTTGCTCACTGGTAATTTCGCCCATGCTTGTCGGAGCCGGCCTGGCTTCCTCCTTATTCGTTATCGGTTGTTTACTCCTTGCTCTTAGATTGTTGTGGGCTTGTAATTTGTTAGGAACACCACTTCAATCTTATTTTTTAATATTTTTTTTAGTCAATATTTTTTTTTAGGTGGGGATGGAACGGTTGTTCATTTTGTCTGATGATGGAGAATGATAATTCTAACTCTAAAATTGTACACCAAACACGAAAAAAAAAAAAAAAAAAAAAAAAAAAAAAAAAAAAAAAAAAAAAAAAAAAAACCATTCCATTCCACTTTCTTTTATTTCATTATACCATACCAAACTAGCCCTTATGGTTTAAACATCACATCCCAAAGCATGCCTTCATTTCTTGGCTTGGTCTAAGAGGAAGACTCATAACATAAATTTGTTGCAGATATTCCTTTTACTTCTATACCTACAGTAGCTCGCTACAGTAGAAAACACATAAAAACAAAAAAAATTTACTCAGGTCGTTTTGGGCCAGTTTACAATAAGTTTAAGAAAACATGAATTCCATTACAAGACCATTTGCTTTGCTACAGTAACCAGCCCAAAACAACAAAAAAAAAATTACAAAGTAAAAAAAGAATACCAAACATGATCTAATTATACAATGGAGTAAATGATAGTATTAGGCTTAATTAAGCCATTGATGACATGAAGTGGGAACTCTAATGACCTCTATACACTTTAAATTAAAAAAATAAAAATAATTTTTTTTTTTCTTTTCAAATTTGTGAGATTAATTATACATTTACTTTCACCATTCTACTATTCTTAGTTTTTATAACATCAATTAGTGCAAATAATAATAATAATAATTGAAAAAGAAAAAACCTCAATTAAACCCATACTATTGTATACACACACACACACACACATATATATTTTTATTGGTAAATCACTATCATATTTTTATCCCTATTATTATTAAATATATAAATATTATTACTATTTTATCAAATTAAAATAATTTTTGTCATTTTCAATTTAATATGGTAGTCAAAGAAACCTTGTTTGAGGATAAATAAATAAATAAAACTTTGTTTGTTATTTTAAATTTGCTGATAGTTGAAGTCAATATCAAAAGTTTGTCATCACAAAATATCCAATTTGCACAAAAAAAAAAAAAAAAAAAAAAAAAAAAAAAAAAAAAAAAATGCATTGGAAAGGGTTGACCCAATCCTAACCCGCCCATTTGAGATCTTACCTAAGTATGACTTGTCATTGATGGATTGAAAACGAATTATTAACTCATTCACATTCAACTCATTTAAAATCCGTTTAAACCAACCCAATTGCCATCCCTAACTTTACCCTAAGTAATTGCCCAAGAAAATCAATGCACAAAAATGCATTATTCTTTATTTAAAGGACTATTTTATATGGGCCGAAGGATGCAAGTAATTGCCTACAAAAATCAATGAACAAAATTGCATTCAAACACACACACACACACACACACATATATATATAGACTCAAATGTAAATTATAATTCTTCGTGTTAAGCATTAATCACAAATAAACATGAATCCTAAAATCTCAGAACTTCATTATATTCACATTGCTATAATGTATAAATAAAGTAGTTAGATATAAATACATCGATCTGTAATTGCAAATCTTATTGAGAAACATCGAGATCTTTTTTGCGGAACGAACAACGTGATAAACTGCAAGTACAAACAATAGCAAAGCGTGTGTAAATTGATTTCTCTTTCTTGGCCTTTTGCACACATAAACATTATACATGTTTTTTTTCATTAGCATCCCTAACTGATAGGAATATGCACTTTTATATAAAGACGGAGAGAGGACCAATTTTCCTTTTAGTAACTTTAATTCCACTTTCCATCAAAGTAAAAAATAAATAGGAAAACATTTTTCCAGTAATTAATTACCAAAATGGTAATTTATAAATTGACCAAATAATATAATATTAATCTGATATCTATTTTATTTAACCACTAAATAATAGAAGTAAATCACGTGCTCAAATCATGTGGGCCACAAATATAAGAAAATATCTTACAGTCTACCACTTGGTCATATGAATACTTCTGTAGTGGTTTAGTAAAATAATTATTAGTGTGCACCATAAATCAGATTGACTCATTAAGTTGGTCATCATATACCATGGTAAATAAACTACCACTGCGAGTTATGGCAGTTATATGTCCCTAAATGATATAGTCTCTTCCATGTACCACACACTAATAACCTATTTAACATGGTCTATAAATGAGAAGTATCAATAATGATCTAACAATAATGTCTTTTCCAAAACTATTCCTATTACTATTTATTAAAGCAATACGTACATCTAC